AGCGCGAATACCACATATAAATAAAGTAATTCCAGCATTCAATAAACCTGACAGATATGGTCCTAAGAAAGTGTAAAAGTGCTTAGGAAAAATTGTCTTCAAAATACAAACTTTAAGTTTACATATTGAATTGAATTTTCAAACATTGACTTTATAATTAAACGAGATTTTATACCCGAGAGGCTAATTTATATGTAAAAGATGTGAAAGTCTTATCAACCAAGGTCATATTTAAAAGCACTGATCTCAAAAGACATTTTTCGATAAGCATAGGATCCAACTTCAATTATTAAAACCAATGCAAAAAATTATCAAAGTGACTATAATTCGACTTGAAAATATCACTGAAAGTTTGAAATATCGACCAGTGACAAAATCCATATGAACAGCTTCAGTAGTAAATAATACAATATTTACAAATAATTAACATATTGAAAGTTTGTATGACTGGAGAATTCAGTTTCTAAAACGGAACATTTTTCGCCGTTGCTTTTTGGACAATATTTTGACCTTCCCTTTTTAGAACAGTTAAAAGAGTCTGAGAACTTTCCAGGATCTGATAAATAAAACTAAAGTGATAAACAGATATTACACACCTTCATATAAGCTGCCTCAGACTCTGAGATCGTTCTGTCATACTCATTTCGTGTGGATAGTTTTTTCTCCAACGATTCATTTACTCTGGAAAGCTTATCATTGAGAACACTTATCTCCCTTTGAAGTTTAGCGCGTTCAGTTTCATCTTGTTGGATTTGTCGCTGTAAATCTTCTCGTCTCTTACAAAGCTCTTCAAAGCCTTAAATTTCAATAAGTGAACAAAAATTGCCATACATTTAACAAGTTCATTATTATAGTTCTGAAGTGCAGCTCCTTGGTGAGACATGAGATTGGAATGTTCTGCAGTTAGTACGTTAAAATCTATGATCCGAACACGTTTCTACTTGCAGTGCTCTAAAGACTAGGCACAGTAGTCTGAAATATAGAGAATAGAAGAAAACGTAGACCGGTTTGGTAGGGATAACGAATGGATAATAGGTAACAGTACATAAATGTAAATCGGAGGTAGTCAATCAAAGTAAGAAATACTAGAAATCTCTATAAATATCACAAATACTTCTCACATTTATAGACAAGAACGACCGGGGAGATTATTAGTGTGCAAGAATGGATTCAGGGGAATCTATTGAAGTGAAAGGACAGAATTTCGAACTTGCAAACTGACGGAGAGCAGTAGAGCGAACCGTGCGCTTTCATTGTCATGACACTAACAAACACATTCAAGGTATTCAAATAGATCAACTGGTTCTCGAGGAAAGCAAGAGCTCAATAAAAAAATTTTCGTTCAAGCCTTTTACGCCCAACATCTTCGCCAAAAAGTAGATGCAAAGTTCCAAAAAGGATTCAGGTAGTATGCTGAAAGATGAAGGCAAACTTTTAAATACAGACTAATTTCTGTGTTTTCAGAGATTATGAGGATCATAAAAATTGTTACAAATGGTTCTTTTCGATTCTAATGACTCGAATGCTCTATTCTATATAACTGTGAACATGGATTTCCCTCAGGTAGATCATATAATTCAAGCCTGTTGGCCACCTGGAATATTTGAACACTTAGTGGAACATAGTTGTACCATGCATATGACCCAACAATATTTTCATTTGGCAGTTGACAGAGTTGGCCATCGAATCACTCGCACAAGCATGAGATCACTAAACACCAGTGTGTGCTTGATTTAGTGGTTACAAGTTTGTTTGATGGGAAGATCCGAGAATTTTAAGTCGGAATCTTCTATCACTAAGTTGGTGATAATATGCTGGGAGTTTATCCCTTAGAACCCCGGAATGTATGACGAAAAAGCTTAATTCTTCTCCAAAGATCCTGATACCAATAACCAGTTTAGAATTGTCATCCGATAAGAAGAGAATAGGAACTTTGAAGTCACTCAGAAGTAAAGTGAGGGAAAAATATACTTCGAGAGTCGCTCCTGTAGCTTTTGGGAGTGAAATAACAACGAAGATCGGTGATCCGGTCGGTGTATGAAGTAAATGAGGCACACAAAAGCCATGAGTATCCTTCACATGGCATACTGGTAACTTATACTAGGAGATGGAATTTCATGAGGTGTGCGAGGTGTAGATAGGTAAAGCACAGTTACGACGACCTGTATATTATCTGTTATCAAGAAGCGGTCGAAAATCGTCAAAAGAAAGTCCTTCGCCAGAAATATGTTTAGCAACCGGAGTTTAAATAATCCTTACTCTGCATAACCTCCCTGAAACCATGGATTTTTCAACTGTTATCCTTTCGCATTACTGTTTAGGTAGCAAGGGAGGTAAAGACAATCACTGAATATTGCAGTCAAGCCGTGAATCGTGTTGAAAGGAATGTCTTTGAGTAATATGCCAGCAATTTTTACGTACATAGTCTGAGTTGCTACGCTCATACTCAAATCACCAGAACGTAATTCCTTTCGAGACGTGAAACTATACGAAGATTCGATGGTGACAACTATCGTGCCAGGTGATTCAAGAGTTTCCTGGGGTAGCCTTAGTAATCGTGATGAGGTAAGGAGTTGAATGACACAATTGACGAGTGCACTGGTTGGAGTACAAATTCCGGTAAAATATTACTCGGCTATGTTGTAGTTATGATGACTGAAGTAGCTTAATTTGATGGAGCAAACTTGGTCCAATACTATGTATGTCGTTTCATTGTTGTCCAACCACACAGTCATCAAACCTGAAGATGCCAAAACTGAGAAGACAGACATTAAACTGATAAAATTATAGAGATAGTTTGAAATGTTGAACACGGGAACAATTGATCTGTTTGATATGGCTCGACAACGCCAATAAGATAGAACTTCCTCAGTAATTATTGAATTAAGGCGTTCAACTTCTTGGTTTACTAAACTATTTAGCTGGTGAATTTTAATGGATTTGTACTCCCTGTAAAATGTTTCATTTTCGTTCTGTAATGGTTTTACTTTTGGAAATGCAGATCGATTAAAACATACGAAAATAGCTTCAGTGGGATTATGAACACCAAAGCAGAATTTAACATAAAAAATGACATCAACAATGAGTCATCTGTAAACTAATCCCAGTTTGTCATATGAAGCATGTTTATGAGATGTTGGATATTTTCTTCTGATAAATTAATGTATTTGACTTTCTTTGCCTGACACAATAATATGCTCTTTGCAAGCCTGATATGTAGTCTAGGTAGAACGCTGATAATGCAGTGAACAGAACAAAACGAAGTGCGTTTACAAGTCGTATATTTTCCCACACCACTATTTAATGAAAACTAATTCTAAATAAACATTCGAATGAGTGGGAAAATCGACTGAATTTTGGTGATACAGTGATGAAAGGAAGCTAATATCACTTAAATTAAAATCCCCATATCTAAATGAAAGGAAACCTTTGAAAGTAGTAACAGAAAAATCGGTGAATTTTTCGTGCCGGTATGTACCACCCGTTCTGTTCATAGGAATAACCAGATTAGTAGTGAATAGGCCTTTACTTAAATCGTGATACAGGATAAAATGCAGCGCCAGTTTACCCGTTTCTGACACACAGTTTTCTAACGTACAATACGACATAGTAAAAAATATAATCTCCATACAAGGTAAGGATATGAATGAATACTAGAGCTCTATTGTTTCGACACATAATTAGATGTTTGAGGTCAATTCTTAACATATAGACCTTATTTGTTACAACTTTATTAACAAAAACAAACAGCGCAGATGAAATAATGCCATGAGTCACTTAAATGTAGGTAACAAACAAAATTGCATATGTTCCAGCGTTTTGGACGGAATTATAAGTTTAAACTGTCAACAATTTATTTTGAAAACTAGCAAAATTAGATGGACAGCATTTCAAGTTTACAAATATACAGAACAACGGTCTATTTTGGAAATCAGTGCTACACTTATGATAGACCCAATCTTAAATTGTGGATTCGTTATGATGTGAAAACCTAATCTATGCGACCTTACATGGAGACCACGTCTTTATCTATTTCGACTCGTCGTGCCGTAACAATCAGCGATATAACGTTTGACGTTTCTGAAGAACACATTTACGCTGTAGATAGAATAATATATTTGATATGAATAAAAGAGATAGGCTACACAAGAGCGAACACGCATGTAAGGCTGAGTCATGCAAAACGGTTGAATTGAATGAATGTTGCCGCGTCCTCTATTGTTAACTTCTCCTCGAGTTAATTGTTTAGGATAAATGATTCTGGTAATCATATACTCGGCTTCAAATGTCATGTGGTTAGGGTCCAATGCCACTACAAATATAGCTACACCACCTCACACTTTCCCAATGGTTCTATTTCTTAGTTTTTCCAATCACAAGATATTTTAAACATACTTCTATAATAACCCTTATAGCTCTTTAAACTAGGCAGCAACTGAATATATTTGACGCATATCTTAATCGCCTCAGCTCATATTCATAAATCACAATTGCAAAAGTGATATAATTTCGAGTTCTGATCATTAACTATACTGTTACCAGATATTTTCAACTAATGTTTTGTAAATATATCAGTTTTGGTAATAAGGTGCAAAAAAATTAGATGGACTTAGAAAAAATGTATAAGAATTTTTATTTTGACGATAGCACTACTATTTTGTCTTTTAATGACTTGCCTGTTAAGCCGTGTAATAATGGGTTAAGTTTCCTTTTTATTCAGGTTAGCGCTGACAACATTAGAACTTATAATTTACAGAATGTGTCAACCTGTGTTCAACACTGTCGTATATTTTCGAAATTTCTGTGAAAGAACATATTCAACACATGTTTCGTGCTCCTAAATGTGTTGCATTGTATAGAAAAGTTTTTTCATTGAAGAATGAAAGGTAGAAAAATCAACAGGTTTACGCCCTTAACTGAAGACTAACGACAAAAATCCACCGCATAGTTTGTGCTTTCAAGGTCAAACCAAGGTTGTTGTGAAGTCTTGATAGACTACGATGAAGGTTATTGGCAGGGAGCTGAATAAAAACTCATCTGGATATATTACGCTAATTGCAGAAAATGAGGAGGACATGTGGTTAACGTACAACTTAGTTCAGGTTGGAGATAAAATGAGATGTTCTACGGTCAGAAAGGTCCAGAATGAATCTGCAACTGGTAGTGTGCAGACGAAGCAAGTGAGAACCAACCTAACAATAGAGGTAGAAAAAATTGACTTCGATTTACAGGTGAGTATCAAGGGTGTTTCTCATCATTCATCGAATTTCGACTCATTATATTAATCAGTGAAGTCTAAAATTCAGATATTCGAAATGTGAACTTCAAGGGTTGTTTAACGGTGTGTAAACCTGTGAGTGACAATTATTGAAGAATATTATTGGATTGAGGTTTATATGCTTGACTGGGAGCTTAAACAATGAAGTTGTCGTGAAACCTTGTTTTTCCTTTGGCTCAGCGAACTCTAGGTGTTCAATTCATTCTTCATAGCTTTTGGTAACAATGTTCACGGCAAAATCTTAAAATAAATGAGGTATATGGTTTTTTTCAGACTAACGTAAGTCTTTGAAATGGTTAGAACATTGAGAAGTAGATTTGTTTGCCGGATAATTTCCAAAATATATGGTGCTTAACAACAAATAAGTTATTAGGATCGAAATGGCGTTTCGGCGTTGTATGACAGAAAGTGTTACTATTTGAACTTATCGGAATAGTCAATTAGCTGGTGACAAAATAATTCAGAAGATTCTGAATTAAAACCCTCGTCCCGCTTTACACATCGACCAGGGCTTCGCTTTCATTGCTGAGTTTATGATGGCCAATAAATACATAATATTCGTTGGTTCTAGATATTTGATCATTGTTATATCTAAGACAATGCTTTCATAAAGTGGGACCACTTAGTAATCATTAATAATGTAGTGGTTAGTTAACTTGGTAAATGCGGGTAGGATACTCGAATCTCATGGAATTAGTTGACAGTCCGTTCCAAAACGTGTAAGGTTTACATTTTGCAACCAAAATGCTCATTCGCTCTATAAAACTAACAAAACGTCTTGCGTTCACATCTTAAGCGTATCTCCTGATTGCGTTTGGTCATTTTGATATTTGTCTTTTATCGCCTACATTATATTGGCAATTTATATTGGAAGTATTTTCTCTTAAATAGGGTTCAGTACTGCACTTGAAAGGCCGCAATGTGGTAGAAAATCAGTTTGTCAAAATGGGCGCCTACCACACATTAGACCTTAGAATAGATGAAAAGTTTACTATCACTAAAACAGAATGGGATAGTGTTGCAATTATGCTTGTCGAACAGGCATCTGACCCAACACAACAAGCTGATCTTGCTGCAGTTATCATGCATGAAGGCCTGGCTTATGTTTGTTTGATAACAAGTACAACAACTATTGTTCGTGCAAAGATTGATACTACAATTCCACGCAAACGTCCAGGTTTACCTACTGCTCAGCACGAAAAGGGTCTGTCACGCTTTTTTGAACAAATAATGCAAGCACTAGAGCGTCACATTCGTTTCGACAGTAAGCTTTCGCATCTAATTACATTTACTATTGTGTTATATACCTTTTTGCATTTGTTTCTGTTCAAGGATTTCGAAACCATATTGCTTATTGCCTCAGTTATAAATATTAGTGGAATGATTTCGTAGTGGCTGAATCAGTTAAAACGTAAACATTGGCTTCTTTACTGGAACCCGGCCACATCAACTTCGATCCAAGCACCTAAGCACTATTATTAACTCTTACATAGGAAATGTAGCTCAAAGCTTGATATACTAAGACCGATACTTCGTGAATGAGTTATGTGAATTTATTAAATCCTTTGATATTATAACTTTCCTATTTGAACTACAACTCCTGCCTTCCTACAGAATATATACACAAAACTTATCACTAGATGTTAACTTGGGTGATATTCTAATCCTCATCAATAATCCTATCCTTTCAATATGAAGAATCATAAATGGTTAATTAACTCAATACTTAGTAGTGTGTTTTATTTTAGATTAGTGTTATTTCAAAGCGATCGAATGGTTGTTGTATAATTCATCCCAAATTTTAAATAGATTTAGTTTCAAAAGGATATAAATAAAAGAATAACATTTGTGTTTCCAACTAATGTCGTCACTTTTTTTCTCACCGCTTTTTCAAACTATCATTTAATGAGTTAATACTGAATAAATTCAGTCAGCTAATCAGTCTTAGTTTGTGTAGGTCTTAGGACAAATTAATAGAGTAAAGTGCAAAAAGAAAGAGGGAGAATATTCGTTACCATAGAAATATGGAAACATGAAAGATAATGTTGTGAAAGGAATATATACGATCGAAGAATGGAAATTGGATGATGATAATTAAGTCAGGATTTAGAGGGAATAAAGAATTAATTTTACTGCATTGTTGCTGTCTGTTTTAATGTAACCTAACATTCGAAACTATCGACTACAACTTCTGTACAATTCTTGACTAGGACGTCTGCACTCATAGCTGTGACTTAAACTAAAAGTCAATGAATTCATGAATTAGTATCAGATATTGATACTGAGATAATACAAATATATAAAATAAAACAAAACTACGTAGAATATGTACTAGGTGCTCTGCACCTTCTTACATGAATAACAGCTAATAATTTCATGGATTGGTGCTATTTCTTAGTTTTTCCAATCACAAGGTTTTTTAAATATACTTCTATAATAACCCTTATAGCGCTTTAAACTAGGCAGCAACTAAATATATGTGACGCATATCTTAATCGCCTCAGCTCATAAATTCTCGTAATCCCATCAACCAATTCATCACTTAAATGTAGTTCTGCATACAACATCAACATTGCCTATTTGGTGAATTGAACATGCATAAACAAGACTTTGAGGGCGCATGTAACTAAATACTTACAGTCTAGGTATGCCTTCCACATTCTAGCCTATCCATGACAAGTGTAATATAAAAAAAGCGAATTGTCGTTCAGCACTTTTCCTTAAGACCATTGACGACTTCACTTACATCGGAATTCTCATCAATTCTCGTGGATAAGAATCTGATGGTATTTCGACACATATTTAGAAATGTCTGTTGGCTTTCGCCAGCGTGCGTCATTTGTGGCGTTCCACTTTACAGGTGTGAAATGTAACCATTAAAAATAGGGGTTCTTAGGTTACTAAGATGCAGTCATAAGTGTCTTCGAAAAAATATTCACATGTTTGAACTGTCGAGTGAGGAATATTGAGGTTAGGCATGGGTCACTAATTAAAAATGATAAACCGGCTGGTGAGGTAGTAAATCCATACCTACTGAGTCGATTGGGATATGCAATAATAAATATCCCCAGCCACCGCCTTCCTCAACCGGCGATTTCGCCTGGTATAAAATTCAGGTGAAACAAAGCTATGAACAACCAAACCAAGACGTGGCATCAGCCTGTGAAATTATTGGAATTTTTGGACCGAGTTTTAGTGATAAGTAGGGATTACCTGGTTGGGGTGCGCATAATTATCAAAATTAGTGATTGAAGGTGTTGGGTAACATGACTCTGAATCGTTCGTAACGGTGCAGATACATGGACTCTTTGTCTACCTTTAGATGCAGAGTCAGAAAAGTCTATACTTAGTCTTTTCTGCCACCGATACTACTATTGACAATTACTACTTCTACTCTTCGACAATTTCATCTGATTCTGTTAATGTGAATCGATGAATATATTTGCCAATTTCTATGTTGCATATAACTGAATGACTGAATCTCTACACTACAGGTGAAGTAATTCGATTTGAAATGGTTTGGATTATCGTGTTATTGATATTTTTGGCTGAAATTTGATCAGCTTTAGTTGCTATGTGGACATCCTGTGCGGATTGCCTCGATATAGCCATTATGACAGCTTGATGCAGAACAGATGAAATGTAGCTAGCAGTGAGTCAAGGGCGCTCATCCAGTTTTATTTGGGACTTATCAGCTGGATGTCCTGGATTCCAACATTAGCCGCATTCCATCCATTCTATATCAACAGGTAAAGTTTCCAAAGATCAAATGGCCATTTTGCAACTCTGCCGATTTACTTGGAAATTTTGTAATGCTAAGTCCCTAAATAAAACTACGCACCTGAAATAGAGTTCAAGATTTCTTAATTACTGACTGTATCCAATCACATACTTCTATCCTACTATGTTTGTTTTTATTATTACACAAAAACCATAGTACAATCGAACATCATAAAATCCCCCACACCAAACAACAGATTAATATTTTGTAAATATAACAGAGTAAAACTGATAAAATCAGTAAAGAAATTTTAAGAAACTAAGAATACCGTGTGTTAAAATACACGGTTCAAGTGAAACTTTAATCAAAACATATATGATTCAGTATAAAGTATGTATGAACCACTAGAATGATATGTCTTTAAAGTTGGCGGAACCATTAATTTACTTATCGCTAAAATCTCTTTCCTTAAAATTACAGTCCTTATCTACAAAAATCTTGGTACCAAATCAGATATTATGACCAAATTATTTGCACCTAAATCCTTTGATGCTTCTCAAACAAAACCCTTGATTTCATTTTTTTTGTCAAATTTAATTTAGTCGTCAAGTGTATCATATTAGCCAGTCCTGGATTTCTACGTGAACAATTTTTCGAATTTATGATCCAGACAGCAACAAGACAAGAGAAACGTGTATTCTTAGAAAATAAATCAAAATTTATGCTTGTTCATTCTTCATCCGGTCATAAACATGCATTGAAAGAAGTACTCACAGATAGTGTTGTTATGAGTAAACTAGTTAATACAAAAGCAACATCTGAAGTCACAGCATTAAATGACTTTTATCAAATGCTTAAAACAGATCAATCACGTGCATTCTATGGGTATGCTGTATTATATAAACATTTTCTAAACTCCATTTATTCATCCTATAAATTAGTGATAATACAACATTCCCTTTTATTTGTAGTATATAATGATCAGCCAGTCAGTCGATTGTAGATAACATAAGACAACCCCAGTATAAATATGTCCTTTACCTCGTATTACCACATTTGGAAGTGTTTTATTAGATATCAGAAAGATTCTGACACGTATACACTTTAAATTTCTCATAGTAATTGAGTCGTTGAGTTCGTTAATCTTTCTGTTAGGAATCACTAGTGTGTTTATATTTTGTAGAACATAGTCGTATGATTTATGTATAAGGAAGAGAATTTTAAGGTAACTTTTAAAGTTTTCACAACCAGTTTAGTTTCATAAATTGTTTTTAGCACAGCAAGATCATTTGTCTTCTTGAGAATGCACAGTTATGATATTAGTGATTAAAGCATTTGATTTCTTTAGGTCTCAAGTTTGAACTTCACTTTATAATACTTTGATCTATATAGCTGAGTAATATTACCAGCATTCATATAAGTAAAATCTAACTCGACTCTGAGTAAATAAACTTTTCCTTGGTAAGTAAATTATATCAATGCTAGTTGACATCCTGTTTATATTTTGTCCGATATCTATTTCATGTTAATATCATAAAGCAATTACCTTGCACTTGAAATGAGTACGTCGATATTCCATTGTAGATGTGAATTGTACATGGTTATATTGACCAATTACTTACGCCTGTTACTCCTCGTGGAGGAGGATATGCCGCCCATCAGCACTCTCCATCCACCCGTATCCTGGGAAATATATGAACCAATACTTGTCTTGAACTAATTAAGGTTAATAAAGTCACAAATTAAGAGAGTTACTGTCTGTAATTTAATCTCAATATTTAAAATTATTAGCACACCTATATCTCTATAAGCAACCTACAGTAATTATGTTATTTAGTAATTGCCTAGTTAGATGTGACATTGCAGTGTCAAAAGGATGAAATCAAATCTGCGAAAATCGATTAGTATGATATTGCAAATATGCGTTCATATAGCAAATATTGATCGACTGGTGTGCAATACTACTCAGTCAAATTACATTAATTTGAATTAATCCGGCTAAAATAAATCATACGGAATGTAGTGTATACATATACCACTTTGATTTATTTCTGAAGTCGAATAAATCCTTATCACCAGTCTTTGTTTTTCACTAAGCGTCATCGGATTTGGGATGTCAGTGTATCAAGCCTAAGCCAGTTAAACATTCTGAGAGTATGACAGTCCTGGATATAACAAAAGGGGTTCAGTTATGCTCTAGTCATGTTAAAACTTGACAATATTATCCATCACAATAGGGTCAATAACATTATCAAGATAACCATGCAAAAATGCCCATTTCATAACAAATTCATATTGCTTCAATCAGTAAGTCAAATATTGGAGACTAACAAAACAGAGTTTGACTACTCTAATTATCGTATGATTATTTCCATTGTCATAAACTGTCATTAGTTAGTAAACCATTCAAAATCACTGACCGTATAACATCTGTTTCATCCTAGTGTGGAGCTACTCAGTAATGCACATCCATACAGGATTTAGTCACAGTGTGGTGTGTGCTATTGATGTCGACAGATATAAGTAGTATATATCATCAATTGAAAGTAAAATACCTGAAGGCAGAAGGTTAAAAAGACCAAAAAAGAGAACAAGAACAGAGAATAACTAGTGTGGAAACGAAGGAACGAAAAATTCTGAGACAGTTGGTGGATATTCTGCAAAGGAAGTATTTACCGTATGGTTCTCAGATTTTACTAAGAAATTTTGTAACGTTGTGTTAAAATACATTTGGTTGTCTCAGCTAGTGTTCACGTTCACTGTTATAGGACCTTCAAGTCTTGCAGAGAGCACGACACATTTAAATGACTGAGTTGGAATCCAATAAGCCATATTTTTAATTAAGTGAATATATGTATGCTTTGTAGCAATCCTCACTTCATAGTAACCTTAACTTTATAATTCAATGAGCACTAAGATCTAGAAAAACTTCACATTGACCACCACTCGGTGGTCAAGCAATATATCTCAGTTCTATGGAAGGCCAGTCGTGCCCTGAATAGTTCAGTAGTAATGTACCAGACTGTGAATTTGGGTGACTATGGTTAGAATCTCACGGTGAGCATCAGTGCTTAAAGACCACATGTGCGTCTTCCTAACAAGTTCCAACCAACAGAAACTCTAGGTCGTGGATTTTCTCTCGACCACCTCTAACTATCTATGACGTTCAGGAAATACAAATTTCTACAGGGCAACTAGGTTAATAACCAGTACTCGTTTGCTGATTGTTGACCAATCACCGAGACTAACCCTGTTTAGGTCCTGGTAGGAGTCTGTGACCTGATTTGGCTATCTCGAAAGTGATAGCTACCGTCTCTAAACTATATATTTTTAAAATCTTTAGAAAATACCCTTAGGAACTTGTTGATACCTTACTTTGTTGGTGTTATGTCCCGACAAGAATAGTGAATGGTAACTTTTGGGATCCATTTGTGGACCAATACTATACGTATATTTTTATCGTATAATTGTTAAGTAACTAAAGTACTCATATCTCTCTTATCATAAGCTTTATTTTAACCTATGAACTGTTATTATACGATTTTGCATTCTTGAATTATTCCGTCTATTAATCACTACCTCCCACATTCACAGCCACATTTGGCCAAATTTTGTACGAATGTTATTTTCTATTTTATGGTACGTTGTGGTCTGTTTGATTGGTATATAAACTCAGTATGTTTGGAATATAATGATTCATATTGCAGAGGCTCGGATTGGTGTCTTGGATTTAACTGGCTGGGCTAGGCGGAAAGTAGAACCAATCAAGACTCTAGACTGCTCTCACGTGTTTTACACATCATTGATCCGATCAATAAGTCACTGCCCTCTAATCGGCGGTCACAAGTATTCGTAGAAGTAGCTATCTTACATTTGTTTTTCTCAGTTAATTCATTCAATCTTTTTTTATTCATTTTATTTATCTAATTCAAACGCAAATGCAGTTACAAACATGTTAAGACGGCTGCTGATGCATGCGCTATTGATACACTACTGATAACTGATGCATTATTCCGTTCACGCAATTTAGAAGAAAGAAAACAATATGTGGAGTTAGTTGACCAAGTTAAAGATAATCAAGGCATTGTACGCATATTTTCAAGCCTACATGTTTCTGGTGAACGTAAGTTTTTCTTTCTATTGTTACATACTCTTACCTACTATAATTTTTGTGTACTGTTCATGCGAGAGCTAAACTGTGTTTGTAGTTGATCATGCATAAAATATCCCAACCACCTCACCTGATGAAGTTCTGAACCGTCACCAACCTATTCACTGCTACCTATGTTGTAATCCTCCTTCAATCCTAGTATTACTCATTCCGTAACTTCACCGTATGCGGATAATGCTTGAAAAACACTCATGATCTAATAATAACAAACTACGACATGCTTTCTACCTTCAAAGATCACTTCTGACAATCGTGAGATAATGCACAACAATCTTCTCTGCAGTTTACTTACGTTTAATAGGAAGACGGGTATATTGTCTATATCAACCTTCCTGGTGTTTATAACAATTCAAATATATCCAAGTAAAACTATTAATGAAACGCTTATTCTCAACCTATCCATAAAAACGCCGGGACATTCCCTCTTAAGTGACAATAGCTGTTTCTGTCCAATTGTTATGTGTCACCAGTTATCAGCTCCCGTGTATCAAATATTAAGTTTAATAATTAAACCACTTCTCATCATTACTTAACGTCATAACCGTTTTATTTTATTTTTTGAATTTGATGATATAAAAATTTGTAGAGCTTAACCAACTATCAGGTGTAGCCGCAATATTGCGTTTCCCAATACCTGAACCTGTGACAGATGACGAGTCGAATAGTTCCGAAGATGACGATAATTAACTAATTAGTTCTCCTACTTAACTTTGTACTCAATGAATTTTTTTCCATAAGTAAACATGTATATTATGGTTTGTGTCTTTCTATCAATATTATTCTGACATCCTCATTCTTTGAGTTCATTGTTAGTATTATTATTTATCTTCTTCACTCTTTAATTGTCCTTTGTGCTGCTTTTACATTGTTGCTGTGCTTATATAATACTTTGCAACTTAAAATCAGTATCCATTTGTGCCAAATCCCAAGTTCTCTACTTTCATTTGTCTCTCCTGTACAAAATTATATTGAAGTGTTTGCTATTTCTATGGTATCTTAATTAGATTTAAAAATAACTTCGTGTTATATCTTCGAGGATGATCTTGGCATACACAGGCGAATTCGCTGATCGGACTTACCATTCTCGATGGAAAGAAATGAAATTATGAAACTTACGTCCTAACCTCCACTGAATGACAGTTTTTCCCTTGTTTAAAAATAACCCAGGTCTTTCAAGTCTTGTTGTGCAAAACTAGCCATTGTTTCAGCAAATAAAACGTAGGACTTTGTACAAATGTGTGTCAGTCGAAGTTACCACACTACCAGTTGTAAAGTCAGTCAGTAACAACGTAGGACTTCGTACGTACATCAGTTCGAGTTGCCATACCACATTAGCACACAAATACAATCGTCCATTCAAACCCTATATTGGTAGACGTAGTAAGAGTATAAGCAGTAATCAGAAAAATTAGGGTTTGAAAATGTTATTCAAGGAGTATAATCCAGTGAAGTAAATTTGGAAAGAGAAAAAAGAAAGGGACATGAAGAATTCAGAAGATTAGAATTTGGGAGAACACAAAGAGTGGATGCACCTGCGCCATTGCAAACGATTTTGAGCCATGTCACTCAGTCTCTTAGCATCGGCTGCTCTCACCTCCCGGATCCCAACCAGTTAGTCTACACCTACCAACATGGCTCAGTCTACTTGTCAGTGACTTCATGGATTTGTGCCATGTTTTGATCTGACCGCCCCTAGCTTTCTTCCAATCTACTCCTATACAACAAAACATCGCACATCGAGGCAGTCGGTGGTTGGGTATACGTAACACGTGTCCCAGCCATCTCAACTGATGAAGTTTCACTACTTCATCAATGGACTTGCCATCCTTACCTAGTACCCGTTTCCTAACAATTGCATTACTTACTCGATGGTCCCAGGATATACGAGCAATATTTCGAAGACACCTATAATCAAATACTAGTAACCTACGAATATCCTCTACTCTTACCAGCCATGTTTCACTGCCATAAAGTAGGACGGAACGAACTGCTGCGCAGTGAACCCGTCCTTTGGTTGATAAGCGGATATCTCACCTACGCCATAAATGACAAGTTGGTAAAAGCTGGACAAGCCTTCTGTATTCGTGCTGAGGTTTCGTCACACACCAGACCACAAGGGCTGATGGGACTTCCAAGATAAGTGAAGCGGTCGACACGCCCAATTACTTCACTCCCTATCATTAGTTCGGGTGTCAATGCAACCCAATCCTGAAGCAACATTTTGCATTTCGAGGGGGAGAATCGCATCCCGAACATGCTTGCATTGTTGCTTAGAGTGGTCATAAGACTCTGCATTTTGTCAGCGTCTTCACCAAATAAAACTATGTCATCAGCATATTCTAAGTCAACAAGTGAACCTCCCGGTAGAAGTTCAACCCCTGGAAATTTACATGAGGAAAGTGTCATCTCTAAAAGTACGTCAATGACAAATTTAAACAAGAAAGGAGAGAGTGGACAGCCCTGGCGAACACCACTTGAGGTAATCAATTCGGATGACAGTTCGCCATAAGCTCTCACTCTACCAGTTGTGTTCGAGTAGAGAGCCTTTATAAGGTTAATGTACTTCTTTGGTACTCCTTTCAGTGACAAACACTGCCATAGAACCTTACGATCAACAGAGTCGAATGCCACCTTAAGGTCAAGAAATAATACCATTATGGGGCGTCTGAACGTGTGTCTGAGTTCTAGAACCTGACGTAGTGTGAATATCTGATCTATACAACCACGTACAGGTCGAAAATCAGCCTGATTTTCTCTAGTCTTTCACGAGCTTTGGTTAGGCGTCGAAGTATTATTGAAGCTAATATTTTAGACACTATATTAGTCAAACTGATTCCTCTGTGACTGTCACAAGAGGACTTTTGTCCTTTCTTACAGACTGGCACAATCAGTGAATGAGTCACCAGGTCTAGTAAAAGTCCTAAGATCCATTAATGTTTCCAGCTATTTTTGACCGCCTTGTTGATTTTGAACAGTGATGATGTAGCGAAAATTCCCATCTGGATGGTGAAAAAGTATCTGAATCAGAGGTTCCTCCTGACTATTTCTAAACACCTGAAACCCTAAATATTGACGTACTATTACTCGAGTGTTTATAAAACCTTAATTTGCCAACCTCTTCGCCAAAAGATTACTGTCTTATGAGTGAATTCCAATAAGAGATCAAATACTCTGAAGTTGGGAGAAAGACATGTCACCTTTAGAAGTATATCCATGACAATATTTTATACAAAGGGAAAGTTAATACCTGGCGATGTAATCGATCCAAATATTAGCTGAGTACTAAATCTAATCTGACTACAATTGTCCAAATAAATAACCTTCAGCAGATATGATGTATGTAACCGGCATCTCTTTCAATGTCTCGCGATCAATGAATTTAAGCGACTCCCGATACATGAATATTATCACAGTCGAGCGGGAACTGGTCTATCTGTGGATCTGATGCAGTATAAAGTTTTAATCAACTCACCTATAATCATGGTTATGTGTTTAACCTTATTGGGTCAACTGTTTCTGCATCCTAGTTAAGCGCCAGATGATTACGAAATCTAGCACCTCAACGTCTATATCGGTCGGGCTTACTCCTCTGTGGCGATATTCATTTAAACGTATAGACGTTGGTACAAGGGATCATCAGATATATATGCACCACATCGTCATTCGATTTGTGTAAAGCCTAAAATAATTCCCGGGTCTTTGATCTAGAGATCTAATCCACAAGGCAGTAGAGCAACATTAGGAGATGCAGTCCCATGGTAGCTGGTGACCAACAATAGGTTCATACACTATTTTTCCCCTCAGGATTTTGGAGCCCATGTGCAACATTAGTTTGGAAGCAGGGGTTTCCAACTCCCCTACGTAGATCCTCCGTACCCACCACCAAGCCGGTTAAGACACCGGACATTCGCTTTTCGTCCTCTCAATAGTCTACTACTAATACCCCCTAAATGTCCTGGTACGGCCGAGAGTGAGGAGAGTCCGCTCTCCCTCTCGGAATGCTCTCACATGGCCACGCGTATATAGCTTCTGCCAGGGAGGTCCTATTCACTGCCTTCCCACAGTGGGGTGTTGTTTATGAAATCAAGACGAAAAGCGAATGTTCAGCGCTTTAACTGGGTCGGTGGACACGGGGAGTCCATCTACCGCAGTTGAGAAACTCTGATTCCAAACCAATCGCGCACATGGGCTCCAAGATCCTAAGGTAACAAATGGCGTATGAACCAATTATTGGTCATGGGATTGCGTCTCTTGACGCTGCTCCACTGCCTTCAGGATCAGACCTTTAGGTCAAAGACTTGGGGTGTGGCCCCCTAAGAAAACCACCTGCTTCGGTTTGGGCACCTGGGCAGTATCGCAGCTGTCACACAAATCAAATGAGGCGCGTATATATTTGGTGCCTCTTTGCACCAATATCTACATGTTCAAATAATAATGATACTAATACTTAGGTTAAATTGTTAGCATCTAACTACCACTTTTACAGACCGCTCAAGTGGTCTCATTCGTCTTTGCTGCTGCTTCACTTCATATCACTTACAGCCTTTTGTAACTTCTCTATGAAGTGGTAACTCGGTATCAATCTTCCTCTACAACTTAAGTAATCCTGAATTTATCTGGGCAATTGACACCAAGGCTTTGCACTCAGCGAAAGCATAATCTTTTTTGAAGAGCCTGAATAACCTAGTGGAGATGCCTTGTAGAACAAATAACTGAATTTTCACATATAATAATCATGCAGAGACTAGCATCATTCTGATAGTCTTAGCGAAATGTTTTCCTGTGAATACAATTCATGTATCATGGGCAAATCCGACCCTTAAGACATTTGCTTTTCTTCTCCTCCACGACGCATTGCTAATCTAATGAGGTTTCGAATTTAGCAATAAAGCACGTACATTTTATACACTAATTACACTAAACATATCTTGTTCTTAATGATCGTACATTAATGATAGCCAGAAATTTATATTTGCCTGACTACATTTTTCTTACGTGTCTCAGTATTGAGATCTTTGGTAATGTTTCAGCTCTTAGTCTGAGAGTGATGTCAATATACGGATGGACACCAAACGCATCTGTACACTGGTCAATGTCACCGAAATTCAAAACCAATCATCCATTTATTCTGTATTTGTCCATTTGAACACAATTTACATCAAAAGATGTTTTCTTAATGAGTTCCTCTTGATAGACTAGAATACTCTACATACTGAAGTCCTTCTATGATCCATTATCTTCTAAAGCATCATCTTCAAGGCAGATAGTTAAAAGTCAGAAATATATACTTATATGCTTTTATGAACAGCATTTGACTATTTTTAAAGTTAATTAATGCTTTTATCAAATGCAAGTGATGCTTGAGAGCACTGTAAATAAGAATAGCTGTGAACTGACGGTTTAATTATTCAGATTACAACTATTGGGTTAAAAACTTAAATATTCCTTACCTATTTTCTTCTCATGTAGCGAGTTCGCTAATTTATGCACTACAAATGTATCATAAAATGTATTACAGGAGCGTGTATTAGTGACATCAACATACGAAATATTCGTAGGCACTATTCGACGTACATACTCAAAATATATTTGAGCTTAAGCAAAGTAGGTCAATATATTTAGATTATCTTTAATATACATGAACCATGCCATAAATAAAAGTCCAAAATAAAATATAAGTAGTTAGTTCTCCGAAAACCCCTCCATACGTTAAACACGAACGCTGAATAAAGTATTTGTTCCATGATTTTCCTGCCTTTTGTAACAGTAATAATGATAAGAAACCATGCGCCAGAAAATAAAACATAAATCCCATGATTCCTGCAGATTGCATTAGGGTATTAATAATAATCTTACCTGTCAAACCTAATATCCCGACTGTACATCCAGAAAGTGCTGCGATAGATATGCGACAGTAGTTAATCAAAGCAAGGTTATGTTGTGCAGCAGCGGGACTGTATGTAATTAAATCTACTGCAGATCCCATTTAGTAGCTTTTTCCTATTTAGTTGTAAAAGTATTTCTTGAGGACACTCGGTATATAACTGGTTTAGTCTGCTTCCACTCCCAGTTTACTTCATATAGAAGTAATCAAATATAAGTTTACCTGGTTTGATCCAAAAATACGGACAATTAGAATTAGATATAAATCGTGGTTGTTAATTCGAAAATATTTAAATGCTTACGATCGTTGATACATAAGTAAAGACGATAAGAACATGACAGTTATTGCATTGTCAACCGTAACATGCTACAACATAATTCGTAAATTATAAAGTAGCGGTGTTATGGTATACGATTAAGTCTACAATGTTGCTGTTCAGGCCACAGTAATTACTTACTACGTAGAAATTACGGATATTTTCACATAAACAATCGGTTTCTGAATTGGTAAGTACAAATCAGCTAACCATAATTTCAGATTTATTAGTGGAAAATGTATAGAAACATCGACATTACATAAAAAAGGTCACTTGACTCATCCTTCACTTTCTTCACACAGTTTTAAACTTGACTATGAAGGAAAAATTCAAAAAGGTAAAACTTATTGTTCCATCATGAGTTTATGCAATCGTGCTTTCCGGAGCTTTTGCAAATGACTTCGGGGATGCTTAGTCCTAGAGGGATCCAAAAAAGAGGTATTAGTACCTAAATTATTATTCAAGAGACGTAATGCCCATATAAGAACACCTTGCATTCAACAGTAAGGTAACCGGGAAAATTTAAAGCCCTTTAGTTGCTTGTTGTAGATTGGAAGGTTCTATCACTAACTTAGTACCTATTCTTTAAACACGTAGGATGTCTACATTTCTAATTCAATACGGATTAGCCGGTTGGATATAGTTTTCGAGATTATGTCTTAAGTAGGTTGGATATAGAATTCAAAACACTTCTTGGTTAAAGCATTTGAATGCTTTGTGAAGTGACCATAATAGGCAGAACCCTTTAATGGCTGCTGGCATTGACATCTAATTTTTAAAACCATGGCCTACAATAACATTTAAATCTTTCTGTTTTAAAAATTCTCAGTTATATCCAATCAATAGTATTCTGATAGCTATTATTGTTTCAGGTCTGTTTTAATGCACTTTTACCGGAGTTTATTCCAACGCACAACCGTCCAGATTGTCTAAGTCAGTTTCAATCTTTAGTTTATTAGTATCATAATGTATTAAATTCAACTATTTACATCGTACTTAAGTAAAGGTGATGACGGTGTGAATAGTTGCGGCAACTCATTAACGTAGAGTATGACTAGCAGAAGACCTAAGAAAATGTCTTGGGGAACTCTACTTTCCTAGGCTTACATTCAGAGGATATCCAGTTTACTTTCACTTTATCTTAGGTCCAAAAGGGGGTTTCTTACCCAATCTTGTGCTCCGCCCATTATTACAAAGTTGGAAAGCTTTAGCATAAGCTCTAAAGCAAACACTATTAAATCCCTGGCTGAATTCTATGAATACCACAGCGACAGTTAGTATATCCAATCCGTTGCTGAAATTAGTGGGTTGGTGAAGTAGGAATGCCTATTATGCAAAACGTATACCTCAAGAGTCAACAGATTATATAATTCTACATGACTTGTTCTGAATTACTTTTCTAGTATTTTAACGACTACACTGGTTAGACTGACAGGTTCTTGGTTGGACACAAGATATCTTCCATAGTCCTTACAGATAGGGCTAACGATGGCATTCTTTCAATTATTTCTTAGTAAAGGTATATACCGAACAAAGTTAAGTAGTTCTGCAAGAACCTCCACGAGGAACGACAGCAATCGAGATAGTAACTTATTAGGACCTGGTGAATTACTAAGTCCTAGGCTACTAGTTAATCGAGAATCGGATACCTCGGTTACAAGAACTGGTGCTATGTTTGGTATCTCAACAGTGTGGCTATCAGAAATGTTAATAACAAGATCCTTGGTATGCCTCATTGAAGTAGTTTGATAAGCTTTCAGCAACGGTTGCATCTGATTTAGGTAGCGTATTTGAGTTCTCACGCAGCTGTAGTGAAACAATTTCATCATTAGTTTCCATCCTTTTAATATGCGGAAAGTCGTTCTGGTTCAGATGCGTATGTCAAGTACGGTAAACCTGAAGTATGTGGCTGAACGACAATGTTTTGACCATTTCGGTTAGTCGGGAGACAGCACAGAGAAATAAATAATTTGCCGTGTTAGGAATTAGAATAAGAATATTATTTTAGGATTCCAAAACTGTAGCTGGTGTCAGTTCGTGATGAAAACTCCAACTGTAACACGTAATCCTAACTCTTAGCATTGATGATGCAAAATGCATTGAAGAATTAATCTCCTGACTGCCTTGAATAAATGAAGCACCATCAGTGGTTGAAAGGGGAAGGCTGGAGGTCAATCATATGTATTTTAACAATAAGCTCAAGATGATAGATATCAAGTCACCGTTCATTGACTAGTTTGTGCCACAGCTAAGCATTCGACCTTTAAAAGTTACAGTAAGCTTTACATTCTTCAAAAGCATGAATTATCACAGTTAAGTCTCCAAGGTGTCAGTACTGGAGCCCATTTTTTAATTTCTATAAATAACCTTCCTTAATGAACATCTGAGTTATGAATCTGCTGATGGTATCGACATTCGAGCGAGTTTGCAACCAGGATTATAAGCTAGAACTTCGAGTGAATTTAATTCAACTTCAAGGTTGATCACATAACAACGGATTTACTTTTAACACTTCAAGGTGTAAAGTAGTCCATCTGAAACTTCCCTCTAAAATGTCTCAAGTTAAAAGAGACCTAACCCATAATCTAAAGTCTTACGATAATTATAACAAGAATGCTTTTAGAGAGAACCTTATACTAGTAACTTCGAAGCATACTTTTGCTTAGTTTCACACCAAAACCTTTCATTAAACTTTTAGGTTCTGTGGGGGCCTATCTGGTTCAAAGAGGTATAGTGCTTGTCTATTCAGGAATGGTTTTCTTGAAACCGTGTTGTTCGGACGAAATGAGGTTTAGAGGTTACTAGTAGTTGTCGTATATCAAAAACTTCATGAATTTTGGGAGTAGTGTTAAGTTCAAACGGCCGAAAATCTCATATTGTCGCTCCCCCTCGGAAATTAGTGAGATGTATGACAGCTTCTAACTATAGGGGCACGACGAAAGCTTAGCAAACGTGAGAACATTACACTGGGATGCAATCTAGGTTTCCCTATTAGGATTTCCACCCTTACCACGACCAAACCAGCGATCTGGACGTCCTAGCCAAACAAATAGCATAAGTCACATCGTAAAAACACTCTCAAAAAAACTGGGTTCTAATCAAAAAGCTTACAGCAAATGATGACGTCTGAAAAACGACAAAAAAGGTCAACTAAGCTATTCTAAATAGCCCTCGCACTTGAACGACCTACAATGGATATATTCAAAGCGATCATCCTGTACTTGTGGAACTGCCTTTCAACATGCTTTAAAACGATGGATGACTAACCAGATATACATAAATTTCCAAAATGTTTCTTGCAAAGGTTCAATAATATTATGCACGGTACTTTGCAACAGTCAGTTGCCGCGCTTTTGTCAATTTACTAGATAGCCATACGAACTTGAAAAAATGAAATCGAGCTACTTAAAGTAGTATTTAAATCCTCTTATGAACTGGATACTGATGAGACAAAATCTCAAAATTGAGAACCGTGCCTCGACTCCACGTAAGTCTAGAAGGTTGTACGAAGAAAAAGAAAGAATGCTCCAAACGCTTGTATTCGTATGTAAACCAAAAGACTAAAAGAATTGTAAATATTTCAGCACTATGGGAGGACAGTAATGCTTTATCACTAGTGGAGGCCGACGTTTGAGAATCTGAAGCACTCTCAAATTTCTTTAGCAAAATATATACCGTAGAAACGCATGAAGATGCCATATGTACTTGGAGTTTTAACAACACTTTGACCAGTAACACCTTTTAATATGAATCGTACACACCAAGTGAAATCAAGAGACAGAAGCAAGGAGGTTTAAGACATATTTGATAGGATAACAATATATCATGGATCGACTGACCTAATTTGGCTAGCGATTGCGCGGGATGTTGGGGACGGCGTTCTCACTCGTGGTCTGGTGCAGATGAATGACCGAACTCCTTCAGCTAGGTGAGTTCACTAAAACTAATATGGTTGGCACCAAATGCCGAAGACTTACAGAGCTATTAATTTCGGGGATTTGTTTACCGCTACACGCCCTTCCCGTCAGTCAATACAAATCCCCTAACATACACACTGTACAACTCGAGTACTAATAAGCTCGATGTCTTTGGTCTGCTAAATAAACTAGAGATAAAAAGATTCACGAAAACCGATGAACTGCATTCTAGGTTACTAAAGGAACTAGCTAACTTCGTTGCAAATCCCATCAATATATTCTTTAATCTATCCGTAACACAGGGTCGTTCAAAAGCCATTTGAATTATCAAAGCTTGTTCGATATCCGGAATTACTGCAGTCCTCAAGACTACATCAACTTTCCTCTTTGACGGACTCCCGCGAATCAGCTTGTATCATGTTATTGGAAATGACCACTCGAAGCAGTAGAAATTCTGTCCGCAGTCCAGCTCACTCTGTTGTGTTTCTGGTTTTCAGATATTTCCTGAAACATCTGCTTCTGAAATGAACGTAGGTAAGTAAAACAGGATTTCTAGAGGTATTCCCGATACTCCACCTCTAGGCAGTTTACATCCTAAAGGCCCCACATTAGTTTTCTGTTTTAGAATGGAAGAGGAGGTATTATGTCTACATACTCTAAGTAAAGTGGAATAGAACTATAAAAAATAGCTGAAATTTTCCACTGTCAAACTAACGGAAATGTGCTTCGAAGCTACCAGTGTAAAGTTTTACTTATGAGAATTTTTGTCACATTTTTCATACGATTTTGGACGATAGATAATCAATATACTCAACTTCTTTCGTTGTAGAGTCCTCTAAAGAGAACCTATTTAACTTGGGTCTGTAATTTACAGCGTTTCACACATGAAGTGCTATACACTTTGAAAACTCGGACGTAGCCACATTATTGTCTTCACAACTTTGCGGCTAAGTCAAATCCTCCAGGATCAATCTGGTTGCAATCTACTCTTCAAAGTTCACAATCGACACCCGAAAATAATTAATTAGGGAACACTTTTTGAGGAGGGTAACTCACGTAAATTAAAAAGAGAGAAGTTCCTTGGGCTGAACCCTTAGAAAAATCATTTGAACATCATGGAGCCTGAGATAACGAGTGATTTTTACTAGCCTTGAATGGTCTGTCTGTCTTTCAGAGGTGAATGAATATCTAATAACTTGGACGTAATTAAATGACATTCATGGTGGACCCTGTCAACGATTTTAGGGATAATGGTTCATCTGTCCACTATACTCAAAATATACTCTGTGCAGAAATGAATTAGCCTGATTTCGCCAGAAATGAGATATCTTCTTCCAGTTCAGTGGGATAAACCACGTCCGATCCGGACGTGTCCTTTATTAATTGACTCATAAGCATCAGGAGAAAAAGCATAGATTCATTGCCGGCAGTTATACAATCAGATAACTCAATCATTTATGCCCTGAGTAGTCCCAGAGTAGCAGCCCGGCCATCCCTGGTTGGTCCAGGATATTTGACGTTTACTAAGACAAAAGAAGAAATGTTGGGGTGTTGCCTTTAGCATTGGCACAGCAATTACGATGTTATGCTACAGGCCAGTGAAAAATAAGCTTACGATTGCGATTCGGAAAGCTCATAGAAAATATGAAATGCAGTTTGCATAATCTGTAATCAAGCTGCCTAAGAGACTATTCTCGTACATAAATTACAGAACAAGGACGCAGCATTGGATTCCCAACCTAATTACGGAAAACAGTGAACCTGAATTGATAAGGGATGATCAGAATAAAGCGGGGGCTATGAGGAGTAGTTTTCACTCAGGAGCCTCTTCTAAACGATGAACTAGATTCATATACAAAGCCAATAAACCATATGTTCACTATGAACTTCGATCGAAATGATGCAATAATAATAATAGAATTCTCCCAGGACAGATACATGCCATTTTTACAGGCATGGTTCACAAATCAGAATATTTGTTGCCTCACGGTATGCTTCCCCAAGTCGGGTCGTCAAATAGATAAAATCCATAAGAGTGAATAACAGTACATTCGTGCAGATGTCTTAGAGCCTTAAGCACTCTAGACACGGAAAAGTCAACAGGGCCGGCCGGACCACACCTCGAAATCTTGAGACAAATCGCATAACATATTGCGACCCCACTGACTGATATTGAATATGTCACTTGGTCAGGGTGGCATGCATGGTTTCAGGAAGGGTCACTCTTGTATAACCAACCGGCTGACTGCTATGGACAGATGGACAACCACGCTTGATCGCAAGGGGAATGTTGACGCCACTTACCTTGACTTCGCGAAAGCGTTTGATAGGGTCAACCACATAAGTCTCATCGTTAAGCTCGAACGATTGAGTATCAAATCACCTCTAATTGAATGACTCACTTCATACCTAAAAGATCGACATTTTAAGGTCAGGATTGATTTCACTTTCTCTCAGGCTATGGAATATCCTATTGAGGTCCTCTAGGGTTCAGTACTAGGACCTCTTCCGTTCTTAATTTATAGAAACGATCTTCCACAACAGGTACCGTCTGACTTGTTACTTTTTGCTGATAATTTCAAACTTTGGCAATACACGCAACCAAGATGATAAACCGGCACTTAAGGAAGATCGGACCCGATTTCAGAGTTGGGCAGATGACAACGAACCTACCTTTAACACTTCAAAGTGTAAAGTAGTTCGTCTGAGACATGTTGCAGACTACAGTTGCAACTTAGGAAAATCCTCTCTAGAAGTATCCTGAGTCGAAAAAGATTTAGGAGTCCTGGTACCCTAGGATTTGAAGTCTCAGGCTAACTGTGACAAAAATGATTTTCAATCAAACCTTACACTGTTAACATTGAAGCGCATTTTTGGGTAGTCTGAAGGCAGAACTTTTCACCTTATCTTCAACAGTTTCATTCGTTCTCATTTAGAGTACAGAAACATAGTATTCCCCCCACTCCAAAAGGATAAGGACCCTCTGCAACATATCCAACGGCAAGCCACGAGCTCAGTTCAGGGAATAAAATTCAAGCCTTATGAAGGGCGCCTCCAATCACCAAACCTTTGCTCATTGGAGTATAGGCACCTTTGAGGAAACCTAATGGCTTGCAGTATCATCGACACTTCTGTACATCCTCTCAAACACCCACTGAAGTTTAGCTCCAACACAAACCTAAGGGGTAACACCCAGAAACCAGAGACAAAACACAGCAAAATGGTCTTTAGACACAACTTCTACTTCTTAGGATTTGTCAAATGCTGGAATTCGCTTCCGGCTGAGCTATTGCAAGCAACTTTTCAGGAGTCTTTAAAGAGGCAACTTGACCTATTCTTAAGGACTATGGATAATATCTTGCTATGATTTACCAATTCCTTTTTCATCTATTATCGTTAATATACCTAGGCTTCTGTCTGGAGGCATTAGTGATCCACAGCCAATAGACACGGAAGCCCGTTAATAGAAAGCCAAGTTTTTTCGTCCATAGCCAGTGCTATTCTTCTTGTATGTAAATGACCTTCCTCATCTCCTATCATCATCGATCTTGCTATATGCTGACAATGTCAAGATATGGAGAACGATACGATGTAAGGATGATAGAGTGGAACTCCAAAATGATCTGAAGAAATTATGTGAATGGTCTCAAACCTGGCAGTTGCCGATAAATACTTCCAAGTGTGTTGTGATGCATATCGGTCATCAAGGTACAGATACATACACGATGAATAACACTGAGCTACCTGTCGTCCAGACACATAATGACTTAGGAGTCATCGTTAGTCAAGACTTAAAGACTACTGCACACTGCCGTGCAATAGGCACCAAAGGTTTTAGAACGTTATGGTCAGTACGTAGGGCTTTTAGTCATGTCGACGCTAAGACGTTTTTGACTTTGTATACAGCGTTCGTACGTCCTGAACTTCAGTACTGCATACAAGCGGCTAGCTCTGCTCAAAAACGACAATGAGCTTCTGGAAAAGGTTCAGGGAACAGCAACTAAGCTGATTCCCGGAATAGCAAAGCTTCCGTATGATGTTCGACTGACCAAGCTGAGCCTTTTCCCGTTGTCATATCGTAGAACTAGAGGCGACTTGATTACAGTTTTCGAATTGCTTGGTGATAAATTTGCACCCGATATGCCCTCATTTTTCTTGTCTTCCAAAACAGAGAATTTACGAGGACACTCCCGAAAAAAGGTTCACAAGCCGAGAACAAATTACTTGTTAGCCGATTATTGACTTTCCTATTGAATCATCAATGAGTGGAATTCATTACCTTAGCA